TGGGCCTCTGGGTATCTGGCCTGTCCTAGAGGGCCGCCTGCCTCTGGTTCCAGTCATTTACTCTGAGCCACCAGGTCCCTATCACTCAGTAACTGCCTCTGGGTAGGGTCTGTGGCTCATCTATCACTGGTTTTCTGTATCTTTGAAAATCCCACCCTCCTGCCCCCCACCACACACATGCTAGTGTTCAGCTTTCCTTCTGTCTGAGGACAGTGGTCACTGTCCCACTTTGGCTTCGGGGACAGTGATCTTGAGGCCTTCCCAGATTCTGTGGCAAATCCTGGGGCCCTGGCTGATGCTGCCACAGCCAGGATTCCTGCCCTTCACTGTCCTGGGTGCCCGGGCTGAGTGAGGAATGACCCTATAGGACTCAGAGAGGAAGGTGATCTGTCCTAACAGGTCAGAATTAAAATTAGAATAGGCCTGGTACAAAGTAAGAGCTAAATGAAGTCTTGGGGAATATCATTAGCTGACTCGCCCTTAATCTGGGTTTCAGAGGCTCCCAGCCTTTCATGCCAGAGGTTCATCTTTAGGGTCTTTGTCTCCAGCAAAGTGACCTCTGAGCTTTCTGTGCAGAGCATGGGCTCTTCTCATTCGGGGGTTTCTCGGGGACAGAGAAAACATGGTCTTGCTAACCATCTCATCCCCATGCTCCTGAGGAGTAGGAAGTTCTTCCAGCTGCCTAACAGTCTTTCCAACTGTGATTGGAACCCATGCTTCCTACAGTGGCCAACCTGAATGAGGAGGAGCATGCCTCACCGGAGGAGCAGTTGTCAAAGTTAAAATCTCCGCAGATGACGTCAAACGCCACCAGCTCTTCGGGGTTGGCTGCGCTGGACGAGGAGGTAGATTTTCGGAAATCAGCCAGCCAGTCCTGAAGCAGGTCCAGCTGCTCACACCGGATGGCACTGTCCTCTGTGGGGCAGAACCACAGAGAGATGATGAAGCGGCAGCCAGACCCCAGCCAGGCTGATCCCAGCCCTCTGGGGGGACATTCCCCACCCGCTGAAGCTTGGCCGCTGGACCCTACCTGGCAGGGCATGCAGGTGTGTACAGGAGATGTACCCGACAATTCTTTGGTCCTGAGGTGTGCTTCCCACCTGCACCTGTGAGGGAGGAGGTGAGGGTTTGGTAACGAGAACTGTGAGTCATCATTGCTCAGGGGGACACTGGTGACTCCTGTCCCCCAGCCAGGTCAGACCCTCATTAGCCCAGCTCTGTCAGCTCCTGACTAGACTTGGGCTCAAGGAGGAACAGCACATGTCCTGCTTCCAGGAGCTTCTGGTCCAATGTGAGAGGCAGATGCATGAAGAAATGGTGAGTGGCACCGACAATTCATGCAGGGCTTTACAGGAGATATGCAGAAATCACTGAAGATTTCTTCCCCAAGTTCCTGCTGTCTCCTGGTGACCAGAATGTCCAGAGGGATGACTCTCAAGTGCCAGCCCCTTGATTCCTTGTCCACTCCTGTCTGGTGGCTCTTTCTTCCTCCCCTTGGTGATACCCTGAACCTGATCACACCCTGGAGCCCATTCCTCAGATGTCTAGATTGAACTCTCCTCTGGGGTGCAGCCCAGCCACAAAGCCCGCCACCCTCCGTCCACTCTGAGAGGCCTTACACCTTGCCCTCTGCTCGCTCTCTTCCCAGTCTCTAACCCTCTGGCTTCATGAGTGGTCATTTTTCTGCTCTTTGGCTGTGGTCCCCAGTAGTCCCCAGATCTGGGATGACAGCTCTGGCTGTTGTCTCCATGGCATTTGTGTCATGGGCTGACCCCAGGCACCCCACAGCCTCCATCCCAAGCCCAGCCCTCCTTCCTCCACAGCAGCCTCTTCACGCCTTCATGTTCCACTCTCCCTAGACTTGGTCCTTGCCTTTTGCTCACTTCCTTCACTGGAGAGAGTCCCTGGTAGGTGGAGTAGGGCCAGGGGCTCCTTCCTGCGTCCCTGCCCAACTGCAGGTGACCCTGGCAGGCTGTCTCCATAGATTGGTATAATAAAACTAGCATCTCCATTGTATATCACAGACAGCTTGGCCCCCAGCAGTGAGCCTGGTATAAGCCTGGGTCCTTGTCAGGCTGTGGCTGGGGAGGTGAGGGATGGCTGCCCAGCCTGCCGGCTCTACCAGGCCCTTTGGTCACACACATGCTGGAGGCTATGACGTGAGAATCCCTCTCAGCATGCTTCCCAAACCATCCTTGGCTGCCTTTCCCAGAGGCCGCTGGTTGGCTCCTTACCCTCTTTTCTCTGGGCTGTCCTCCCATCTGAACTTCAGCTTTCTTCCCCAAACTTGGCTAATCTGTTCCAGACTGAGTTTTCTATGATGATCTGTTCCAGGCCCTGGACCCTGGGGAGTCTCCAGGGAGGAAGACCGTAGAGGCCAGTTCTTGGCTGAGGGGCAAGGTGCAGGGTGGGTGTACCTGGCATCTGCTGAGCACAGCTCTACACGGCCTCCAGCTAAGAGTGGCTTGGACTCATTGCAGTCTTCTGCTCTGAGAGCCTCGGGAGGCTTCCATCCTCTTTACTGCCAAAGTCAGGTTAGCATTATTCTCCACAGGGACTTTTGCATCATCAAACACCCTTAGCTTTCTACAATTCTTCATCCCTTTTCCAAGCCTGGATCAGTGCACATCTTTCCTTTCCGGTGTCCAGGGAGGATGGATGATTGTTTACTTGATAATGGGCCTGGATTTGGGGCTGTTTATAAACTCACATGTTTACCATTAACTCCTTGCCATATTCTAGACCCAGACCTCAGCCCAATGGTACCCCCCTGCTCCCTACTGCCAGTGCTTCAGAAATCACACACCATTTGTTTCCCCTGTTTCAAAAACAGTGTCCTCCAAGGCCACACGATGGCGCTTCTCAACCCCCTCCCCCGCATTCCTTAGGCCAGGAGTCTGTTACTCATTATTAACCTTTACACCGTGAGCACCCTTGCTTAGTGCCTTATGGACATGGCCTTACTAGAGCCCTACAACAGCTATGAGGATTATACTAAAATTACACTGTAATTGTCCTGGGGTCATGAGGCTCCACTGAGGCCAGCTCACATCTGATGCTCAAATCTGATGTTGCGGCCCATGCCCAGCTCCACCCCCTGCTCTGCGCTGCTTTCTGAGCTTTAGTGACTGAGCCAGGGTTTTCAGCAGCCACCCATTTGATACTCTTAGTGCGTCAGCCCCTCACTCAGCTCTTCATGTCACCTGCCTGGGCTGAGTCCTGGGCAGAGACGGGACAAGTGCAGAGGCACCACTCAGCTCTGTTGCTGAGGATAACCTGCTGGGAGGATAGACATGCAGAATGAGATATCTCAAGCCCCCACCCCCTTCCTCGCTCTCAGTCAGCCCTGTGAGCTCGCCAAGATCCACTTTATTATGTGTGGGGACTTATTGATTCCTGGCTTGAGTCCTCGGGAGCCGCAAAAGCTCATGTTTCTCTTACAAAAACAAACAATCACTCTGAGAGTTTGTGCCTTTAGTCCTGGTGGGCAAAGACTGTCAACAAAGAAGGGCTCAGAATCAGGCTCTCGTAAGTGAGGGAGAAGCTGTTCCAGCCTGCTCTTCTCAGGCTATCTAGGTAGCAGGGAAGCACACTTTCCTCTAGGACAGGAAGTGATGGGAAATGTCTCAGAGTAAATGGGAAGGCAGGGCTGGACAGGGAGCCCTGAGTGAAGGGAGTGAGGCTTCTGCACAGCCAAGTCAGCACCTTTCCAGCCCCTGGCTGTCCTGGAGCTAGCATGGCTCCTGAAACCTCATTTACTTCATTCCTCCATGCAGAGAAACAGGCACACTCTCGCCAACATAGATGAGCTAGGTCTGCTGTGCTGGGCACAACGGCTTCGCTCTTTGTTCTGTCTGATGGGAGAGGCAAGCAGCAAGACACCCGGGGGAAAGAGCTTAGGAATCCACAAACGAACACTGCTGTGCCGGATGCCGCAGAGGAGAGCTCCACCGAGGTTGGGCAGCCAGTCTGGGGCAGGACCAGGACCAGGACCAGCGTGTGCCTGGAGCAGAGCCCGGGGACATAGGAGGGGCCCAGGTGAAGGCTGGGCTTCTCCCCCAGGCAGCAGGAAGGGGTAACAGGAGTCAGACCTGGGACAAGAGGAGGATGGATTTGAAGTAGGAGGACACCCCGAAACACACATGGGTGAATGCAGAGGAATGGTGGCTGGGGCCATTACAGTGTAGCTGGAGATTGGTGGGGGGCAGAGGTATCTGCAAAGTGAAACTGGGACCCTGGGTGAGCACAGAGAACCCTCAGCAAGTGTGTAAATGGAGGCCGTGGAGTCACTTTCCTGGGGAAGGTGCTTGGGGCCGGCTGGCTGAAATAACCACTCAGAAGTGAAGAGGGCTGGCCAAGTTTGGTCGCCCTGCTGTGAGGGCTGCCAACCCCCAGCTCAGGTTGAGATCTGGGCAGAATGCAGCAGGCCTGGTGTTGCCAGATCTGCCAAGGTGGGGAGAGAAGTTGCAGATTGGGTTTTATGTGAAATAGCTTGATTTTTAAGTGTTGGCCAACAAGAAAATTTTTTAATGGTATGGACCACATTCAGCATACCTGCAGACTACTTTTAGATCCAGAAGGTAGAGGGAGCATTAGCATTTAAAGGATGGGCAGGCAACAAAGATCTGGAAGGAATGGGCAGAGAGGTGGGGGTTGGGAGGAAAGCCCACAGCAGAGAGGCTGTCCCAGGGAGACTTGTGATCCTGGTGGGCATGGTGGTCAGGGTGTGCTGGATCAGGGACAAAGATGAGGAGAGGGCATGTGGGCTGCAGGTGGGGTTGCAGGGGACCCTGGCCTCTGAGCCATCTGTAGTAGTAGTAGGGTGGAAGAAGGTTTGTTTCCCTTCACTGCCCCAAATCTGACACCATGTCCCCTCCTTCCCTAGAAAGTCACTCTGGCTGCTGAGACAAAAATACATCTGTGGAATAGAACGCTGATGGACCACTTGCCAAAATGGGGAGGTTGCTCGCCTATAAGAGGAATGCCTTCAATTTCAGCAACTCAGACTGTGAGTGGAGAGCTGGGGACCCCAGTTCTCTGTCTGCTAAGCCACACAAGAGGAAGTGGGGGTCTGGGCACTGGGATGCGGCCCTTGCTCCAGCGGCTCTGTGCAGACGATCAGCCCATTACCTCACTTCTGACAGGAGCTTGGCTGACAAGCGGCACTTCCTGAACAGGCCAAGCACGGTCAGAGTTGAGGCCTGGAGATGAGAACCTCACCACGCTGGGCTTCCAGATTAGACACAGCAACATCCGTCTCCATTCACGGACCCCCCCTTCTGGGGAGAACTGAGAAGTCTTGAGGGGAATATGGAGAGAACCCACACCCACAGCAGCTGCTGCCTCTGAGTGCAGAAAGCCTGTTCTGTAGCAGCTGGCCAAACGATGTTTCAGAAAACTCTGGAAGCACCAAGAGCAGTTTTTGGATAAGGACCAGAAAGTCAACACGCTGAGCATGTCAGCCGCAGTAGAGGATAATGTGTAATGACCAAATTACCATGGTCTAAAAACTCTTCCAATTGCATCCAAATTAGCAGAAATAATTATGATTCACTTTAATTAGTGACTATGGAAGTGAAGCCTCGGGCTCGTGGGCAGAGTGCCTGGTGTGGCAGCCGCATGACAGCCAAGAGGGAAAGGGCGTCCTGGCCATGGAGACTGGTGGCCCAAGGGAGTGGCCTGAGAGCCCAACCTGCAACCATCTGTCTGCAGCAGTACAGACAGCCTCCTCATTCTTCACCGCCTGCCATCTTTACCGCCAGCACCATGAGAACCTTCTAGGCCTCGCCGCTCACAGGCCACTCCCGACCATGTGAGGAGACTCAGTGTTACCCCACTTTACAGATGGGGAAAGGGTGGCTCAGAGATTGGAGGAACTTGCCCAAGGTCACCCAGCCTGGAGCCTCAGTTCTTGTCCCTGTGTTCCTATTTTCCTTGTCCCCGAGCTGGGGGCCCTCCAGTTCCCATGAAAAGCCTTGTCTGCCCACTGTCCTCCAAGAGAGTGAGGACCCCCTGACAGGGGCCTGCTTCCACCCACCACTGCTCTAGGACTGGCTGACTGAGGCCTCCTACCTTGAGATACAGCGCTCCCTTTGAGGCCAGGCTGTCGGAGAACCGCCCGTTGGGGTAACAGTGATAGGCCACGTCCATGATGGGGTAGCGGCTGGCAAAGAAGAGGCCGCTGTTGAGATACTTGAAGCTGCAGCAGCCGTGGCAGCCGTAGACTCCGACATCATAGAGGATGTACTCGAAGTAGCCATGTAGCTGGTCTTTCAACTTGGCGGCCGCCCGCTTGTCAAACACCTCCTGTAGGCACAGGAAGTCCAGGTTGGCGGGGAAGAAGGCTGAGACCTCGTGGTCAAAGGCTTCATCCGGGTGCCGCCTCCTGCGCGCAGCTGCCTTCTTCACCACCGAGGCCTTGTACGGGAGCTTGCTGTTGGCGCCTGGCTCCCCACTGCCGCCGTCGGCCCGTGCCTTCACCAGGGACTCCCTGGAGGCTGAGGGGCTGCCCAGGCTTCCCGAGTCCCCATCCTGCTGACTGTGGTTGGGCGTCTGGCCACGGCCAGCCCCGTTCCTGGCCTGGCCCCCAGCAGGGGGGTCGAAGGCTTCGGGGGGCCTGCCCCCCTCATCACCACCGATGCGCACGATGCAGGCATCCTCAAGGCTGCCACTGTCGGTTGCGGCGGGGTCCCCAGAGGCCAGGCCATTGGCAGCCTCATCATTGGGGTGACGCCCGCCGTCGCCCTTGTACTCCACAGAGGCCGTCCTCTTAATGCTTCCAGGGACGGCCCGGGGCACGCCATCACTTCCCTGCGGTGACACCAGGCTACTGAAGCTGGCTGCGCTGATGGAGGTATTGGTGGGTGAGTCGATGTAGATTTTGATCTGGGGCCTGCTGGCTCCATTGCGGATTCTCTGCCCGATCTCTTTGGCCCGGGCTTGGGTGTTGAAAACGTTGTTGAACCTGGCCAGTGAATCAGGGAGGAGGCAGAGGTTGGCGGTGGCAAAACAGAAGCTTTTGCCAGGACCAGTACCCTTCCATTCACTAAGCAGGGCTGCCCCGCCGGTAGGGCCCTTGTCCTCCAGCCGGGAGTAGACGTAGGGCCGGCGGGCAGACTGCAGGGGGGACCAGAGGAGGAACCCAAGGAATGCGAAGGGCAGTGAGGCAACCAGGAGGGCTAGGTAGACGGGTGTGAAGAGCACGGTGCAGAGCAGCTGGAGGTAGCACGGGTCGTCAGCCCGCTGGCGTTTCTCGTAGGTGGTGGGTATGAAGGAGGCCAAGAGCCGGTCCGCCAGCCAGTAGCATGGGAAGATGAGGGCCCAGGACACGGCGTGCAGGGCGGACAGACAGCTATTGGGAAAGGGGGTTGTGTACAAAACCATCGCAGCTCACTGGGCGCCGCGGCCGGCCCTACTACATGGTGTCCGTGGCAGTGCGGGCACTTTCCTGGGTGGGGTGGGTGAGTAGGGGGCAGCTGGAGGAGGGGTCACCTCCTGGTGAGACGGGACTCTGGATGGTCAGCGGCACGTGTTAGCCAGCCAGTCATGGTTCACCTCAGTGGGCCATGCTGGGCCACCAAGGTCTGCTGGAGAACCTGCAAAACAAAGTGAGGAGACTTTCATTCATCTTTAGGGGAGCAGGTCAGATGCTGGGGCCATTGACTTGCTCACCCTGTTCCTGCCTCCTCTGACTGTTCCAAGGACCAGGCCAGAGCCAGCAGGCTCTCATGGGGTGTTTGGGGCCAGGAGCTGGCCTGGCCCACTCCATTTTCCTGTATGTGTTTGGTTCTCTTAGAGTAAACTGCTTGGTGATGTTTGGTTCTCTTAGAGTAAACTGCTTGGTGACATGACTGTCTCTAGCTGACCATTTTGACCTTGTAACCTAATTGGTTGAAAACTGGCCCAGGATTTGGGGAGCCAGGGGTGTGTTCAGAACAGGTGAGGGGAGAGCCTGAGTCAGAGGCACTGCAAACACAGGTGCCTGTCACTGAGTGCCCACTGGGTCAAGACAGTGAGAGAATAAACTGCAGAGAAAAGGTGCCAGAGGGTCCTAGGGTGGAGGGCAGTGTGGCTGGCAGGACCCCTGGGAGGAGGGCCCCCCACAACTAGGCTCTCACTGTGCCCCAGCTTCCAGCCTCAGACCATCGCTGCCATCCCACCCCTGCTGACCCCCAGCAGAAATCCCTGCCTGACAAGGATCCAGGCACAGCATGGGCCTTCCCAGGTTCCAGAATGATCAGAGTTACCCAGTTACAGGGGACTCTGATGCTCTCTGTGACTTTTGAAGAAGCTCCCTGAGGTTTGAGGGTCGGCCCCAAGCTTCTCTCAGCCCCCAAGGTGTAGTTTCAGGGCCCAGCTAAGGTCCACAGCTGCCAGAGTGAGTCACCCCAGGTCCCGACCCCAGCCAGTGCAGGAGCTGCCTTGGATCTCAGAGCAGGCCCAGGGCCCCGCATGGGAGAGGCCGCAGGTGCAGTCATTGTGCTGAATGTAGAATCAATAAAGACAAGAGTCTGGAGTGTTTACCCAAACTCCAGGAACCCAAGGCTGATCCTTCTGTGGTAAAGCTGGTATAAGCATAACGCAGAGTTTTCATGACCAGATCAGCTGGGGAACTCGTTTCCTGCTCACTGTCTCACTGGCCCAGCCCTGTCTGCCCTGGCACCTTGGCGTCTGTGTCCATTATGCCATTCGTCCTGGCCCCACACCCTCCCTTCTTCCTGCCTTCCTGGTCACCCCAGCCAGGACCTGGGTGCATTGTGGACTCCGCCCTCCCTCAGTCCCTACGTCCCATGAGTCCGTCTTATGTATCCAAGCACCCCTGCAGCCCCTGTGCTGGTCCAGGACTGTGACACACATCACTCACTTTCCTGGCCTTTTCCCCATCAGGCCATCCTCCACATGATGGCTAGAGGGACTCTGTCTAATCTGACCATGTCACAGACGCTTCAGCCCCATTGAGGCCTTGCTCAGCCCTTTTGGGCACTGCATCTCCTCAGCCAGGCCTGCCCATGTCTGCAGCCCCAGCCACCTTTGTGCTCACCTCCCAGTTGCTGGGGTGTGGTTTCCTGTTCATGCCCTGCTATTTCCTCTGGCCCTCGTCTAGCCCACCGCTCTTCTTCTAAGATTCAGCTTAGAAATCACCTCCTCAGGCTCTTTTGTCCCCCTTGCCAGATGGCTTACTTCCACTGTACCCCTTGTGCGTGGCCTGGTCTCTGCAGTTCTAGATCATGAATGCTCACAGTGTGAGGCTACCTCCCCAGCAGAATCAGGGACTTCTTGAAAGAAGGGGCTACACTGAGGGTGCTGTGGATCCAGGGGCTGCACCAGGAGGAGCTCAGGAAATGAGTGAGTGAATGTTGGTTGATCAGCCCCACAGTGTCAGTCACACTTCCGTGGCCACCATTTGAACAGAATATAGTGTCTAAAGATGAACCTGAAGCTGGTGGCTGTGTCTGGTTCTGGAGAAAATGTTTCACAAAGGTTTTACTTACTTCAGAGGAAATCACGTTGAAGCAAACACTGGAAGTTTACGGTTTGGAGAAGCAGGTATGTCTACTCACCACAGCCATCTGACTAGGAGCCCCTCCCTCAGGTGTGAGCAATGAGGCTTACCGTCAAGGATGATGATGAAGCCAGAAGGCCATTCTCTGCATTCCTCCCACCCCCATGATATCCTGGAGCCTCAGACTCTACAGTGGCCTTCACCATCTCCCCTACACCCAATCCAGTCTCTGTCTAGGGACACTTTGTGCTCCTGTCCTCAGTAACCTCTTTCCTCACCCAGCCCCGACCTGGACTCCCCCATCATCTCAGATGCGCACTGCTGTCTGACCCCCAGGCGCCTGCACCTGCCGGGCTCTCTTCCTGAAACTCCTCTCCTGCCTTGTCTCTATCAGCTACTCCTTACTTACTTTTCAGGGCCCAGCTGAGATGCCACCTCCTGGGGTAAGGGGTAGGGGTGTCTGCCTTGATCCATCTAAGGCTGCCTGTGACCCCTGAAACCCTCTCCACACTGTGCTGCCCTCCAAGCAGGACTGGCTCATGTTCCACGGAGTGGCCGTAGCCTTGTTACGGGTCAGAGGTAAACACAGCCTAGCTTCGTAAAAGGCTTCCTGAGAGAAATTTCTTAAACCTGTTCTCCTGTGTGGCTCATCCCCAGCACTGGCCGATCAGGGTTGGGATTTGCTGTTAGCCATGACAGGGCTATTTGAGGGGCATGGGGGCTCTTCAGCTGCCCTAGGTCTTCCTTACTCCTGCTGTGGCCCCAGAAGCCCTTCTGGGCAGGTTCCCTCCCCAGCCCTGCCTGCAGTGTCAGCGGTAGGCGTGATCTTTCTGCCTCCCCTGGGCAGGTCATAGGGATGTTTTTGGTCTCCATTCAGACATCAATGGGTTTAGGTGGCTGGCAGCCCAGAGGGCTGACAGGCAGCAGTGGCCACCACGACAGTCCTCCAAGATGTGGCAGACCTGAGCACCTCAGCGCTTCCTGCCTGCCAATCCTGGCCCTTCACAGCTACCTTGGGTCCCCTGTCCAGAGCCCCCCCACCAGCCTCCCCTCCCACAGCACCGTGGACAGAAGGAGCCTCTAGGGGCTGCCCACCTGCCCTGCTCCTGCATACAGTCCCTGCATGTACTCACAGAAGCTGCTGACGCAGTTGACACAAAAGGGATTGCCACCAGTGGAGCCAGTTTCTAAAGCTCTGTGGTTAATTATTTTGTCTCGGTGAAGTGAAAGGAGGGTAAACAAACAACAACACATTAATTAGTCTGATCTGCACTTTCCCCATGAAAGAGAGCGAGAGTTAAACACTGGGGGCTGGCAGCTTCTCAGAGAACCTAGAGTCCTGGGAGGGCTGGCTGGGCAGGATGCGGCACACAGGGCCCAGCCTGCGCCCTTTCCAGCCCAGGTTCTGTCTCCCAGTGAGGAACTCCTGCCCCTCCTCCATGCCCCAGTTCTCTGCTTCCAAGTCCTGGCACTGGCACCTTTGCCACACTGAGCCTGCCATGGGACTGACAGGTCCCTCAAAGGCCATGTGTGCTGAGCTGTTGCCTGTCAACCCCGCAGGGTGGACTGCTCTTTCAGCTTCCTGTTTTAAAGCCTACAGTCACCCTCGGGCTTATCCTTATTCTGAATCCTAGTATGTGGCTTCCAGGGTTGCCTGGGATACCATCTGCCCTAATATCATGGTTTCCAGATGGGCTGGAGACCCAGACACCCTCAGGTCCCCATGGTCACTCCTGAGCACTGGGGTCAGTGTAGAGGTCTACACAGTGTCCACAGGAGGGCTCCCAGCAGTCAGAACTTTGTCTTAGAAGTAAAGACCCAGGCTTGCTCCTTAACCCAATTATGTGGCCTATTAGGTCCTGGGCAGGATCCGAGAGATTACAGGCCCGGCCACTCCCAAGCATGCAGTGCCTGGGGCATTGACAGAAAGCAGCTCACACAGCAGTTAGTCCTGTGGGTACTGATAATCTCTTGTGACCTGTCAACACTGAGACCCTGGTTGCTAACCTGTGACCTGTAGCTACCACAACACGGGAAAGGAGGACTCTGCTTAAAGTCACTATCCTGAGGGCTCTGGGGCAGGCTAATCTGCCATCCCCTGGAGAGGGCATCCCCAGTAAGAGGGCCTGACCAGACCTGGTCCTGTTTGGGTATTGAAGATGAAGGGGTCAGGGAGGCAAGTCCCAGTAGCCTTGGTGGGCCAGCAGCAGTGGACAGGACTTCTGCTACTGGATGCCAAATAAGACTGGCATCAAGACAGCCATCCCACTTCCATCTCCCTGGGAAGTGGACCTGGCATGTGTGCTGGTATCCAAGATGAGCTGTACAGAGGCCCAAAATGTCCTAGGGCTACTGGCTTTGAATTTCTCCTGTGGCGTGAAAGTAAGCCAGACCAGTTCTTCTGGTCAAAGCAAGCCCTAGCCCCTCTGAGGAAGCCGCACCATCTTTTGGGATCTCTGAGCCTTTCTTGGGGAACTTCTGGGAATTTGATGAGGGTCAGGAGTTGCCCCATGTTGGGCTAGGATGGGACCTGGCCTTCCCACACCCCTTCCATCTAGTCCTCATGCCTGCTGAGCCCTCCCTTCCCAGCAGCAGGGCTGGGAGTCCTGGAGCAGAGGGACCTCCTCACATCCTCTCTGTGTCCACGGGTTCATATCTAGCAGGAGCTGGGCCAAGCCCCAGGTTTCCGCAGGAAAGGCAGAAAGGATTGCTCCAACCCAATTACCAGAATGTGCTCGTATCATTGGCAGCACTGAGATCGGCCGGCCCGTTTCTGCCTGGATGCCTGCTGGGGTGGGGTTGGCATGGCAACATGAGCTCTGAGCTGCCGAAACTTGGAGTCAACTCGTTGCCAGGAGGACAGAAAGAACGACAGAAGAGGATGCCTTTCTGTGTGATGTAGGTCAGACAAATCCTGGCTAATCCCTGAAAGCCACATACCATAAGCAGAACTGGGGCCTGGGGTCTGGCATGAATTCATGCGATGTAACGACAACTCCCACTTACACAGCTGTGCCAGGTAAATGCCTAGTCACCTTTCGAGATCCAAAGCGCCTGCCTCCCTTAAAGCCCTCCCTGGCCTCCCGACCCCTC